TGCTCCTAATGAGTAAAATGTAATAAAGGAGAGCAGAATTCCCATGGGTACGAGCGCGGTCAGCAAAAATGGACATGCAATTCCGATTAATGCCCGCCGCCCCAACAAAGAACAACTGAGCGGTTCTGCGCCAGATGTGGAGAGGACATCTAGCAAGTGGGCGGTCCAACTGAGCGGGTGTTAGAAATAAAACTTTCAGCGGCTGTAGCACCCTCCTCGCTCGCTGTGGAGTCGCGATGTGGGACAGTCTCTTAGCTTGGGGCTGGACTACTTGCACAAGGAAGGACGACCACGAATTACTTGAGCGCGGGGGTTGTCTTTAAGTAGTACCATATTGTTCGTGAAGATGGACTCCGTTCATGTAAGTAGGGATGGCTCTTGCAGGACACCAACCGCTTTTTCCCCTAGATAAATCCCTCCATGCCTGTAAATCGGTCCGGGCACCAAGTTGTTTAGGAATGCTCAACGAGTTAGGAGGGTTTCTGAAGCAACACAAGGTTTTTTCGGATGGTTTTCTTCATGATTTGAGGTGCCCTGACGTCAGTTGTTTCGTATTTCCCCGTATTTCAAATACGATACCTTCCATGAGCTCCTCACATACCGTTGAAGAGTGTGACCTACAAAACTGTTCACATCAACTATACCGATCATTGCGACTGAAACATATTTCGGCGCTACCCTTTACTGTCCCAGTCATTCGGAATCGAGCCAGTTTTTGACCGACTTTTTTCTCCGTGGACAGACTTGGCTCAAATGTTGTCTCCTGGGGTAGTTTATCTCCTGAACACGAATGTCACATCCACTCGGCACGAAACCTCTTGGCGCCCGCGCCAAAGGCGCTGGTGATTTAAGGTCTTTTTGGCGCGAACGCCAGGCAGCGTTCCCGGGCTGCCACATCTTGCTTCGTGTTCTCGAGCTGAAACTACCCCTGGAAACAAATTTTCAGCGAGTTCGATGAATTAGGGTTTTTGGGGTCCGGCGCCTATGGCGCGGGTGCCAACAGGTTCCGGCGCCCGTCAGTTTTGCTGAGCGGATGTAATATTCATTTTCAGGAGGCTGAACTACCCCAGGGGACAAGTTTTTAGTCGATTCTGCCAGCAGAGAGAAAAGTCCGTCAAAAACTGGCCTGATTTCGGATGACTGGGGCAAAGGGTAAATAGTGGCGAAAGTTCTATTTCATGCTGCTTCTTGTTCAAACTAAGTGTCTTTTTAGATAATCACTTTAAATGACATCAACTTGAATTTGAGAACAGAGAACTTTGGCACCAGTGTATGTTGCCTATTTAGATACAAAAATCCTGAAAACCACGTGAAGGCCAGGCTAAGGTGTTGCCCTGACCCTATCTGACAATTCGTTGCGAAAAGGCCCATTTTGAGCGCATACCTATCTGATTCGTACATATCCTGTAGCTGGGAAGTTTTGCATTATTGGCCGGTCGAGCCACTCAATGGAGCGATTTGGAAGTCGCGTTCCCCAGTGGCCTAACGTCTAACCATAGCCAAACGTGTTACCTGTCTGCGGCCTCTCTTTTCTGGTTGTCACTACCTCTGAGAACGTGTTTCGCTGCGGGACCGTAGTCTCGAGTCCTGTGCTGCACCATGAAGATAGCGCGAGCAGGGTCTCAAACGGCATCCAGGTATAACTACCCTCCAGCCCCGTCCTCGTGCACTTTTTAGTGGAGAAAGTGGTCCACAGCTGCGGCCCTACTCAGCTGCAAATGGCGAGGACCATCTTTGGAGGTGAGTGCACAGTTTGTCTTCAATGAAGGTATCTCTCAGTACGCTATAAGAAGCTTTCAAGAAGATCAGACCTCCTTACAAACCTAATACGTATACTTTCTACACAACTTGACCATGCCGGAAACAGTTAACGATACTCAACCAAAGGAATAGATACAAAAACTATACTAACTAAAACTAATGTTACAAAAGAATGAAACGAGAGGCACAACTGCTTGAGAGGAGAAGTGTGGACACATTTACGCCATGAATGTGTATGGGTGCGTGTGTATTTGTATGAATGTTAAATAAAAAAGAAATCGCAAGCGGATAGGATAAACGAAATGAGGAGAAACAGAAAAGAGCCAACCCACCTCGGTTGCAGTGAGACAACCGGATTTATCATAGAAGAATACATTGGAGAGATACGTTGTGCAGGACATTCCGAGGCGCACATATATTGACCCGATGAGGATGTCGACGAATTGTTCGGCGCTGTGATCGTCGATGAAGACGTTGACGGCACCCCTCCAACAGTCTGCTGCCCACCACGGGGTATACTGAAACTGAGCGCGGCCAGGTACTACTCGAACACCACCGACTCGGCATTCTACTCAACCATACGCACTTCACAACACAACACCTCATGATCACATGCATAAAAGCTCGTGCTTCCCAGAAAAGGCATGAGAGCATGCACATCTTCATTTCGTAGAGTGGAAGAAAAAAGTCAGGTGATCGGTTTGTATGGCTCCCCAAGCTTGAACATTTCGATTACGATCACATGACTGAGCGGCACCATCTGAGCGACGAGCTGGCGAAACACGACCGAAGCAGAAGCGCCTTTGACGTACGTGCGTGCTCTACGCGACGCGACAAATTTTGATGACTTTGTTGGGTGCAGGTAAATACCCAACGTCATTCTGATAAAAAAACTCAACAATTCTCACTGGGATGACCTCGCTTACAAACCGAAATGAAGGGAGATTTGGCCATAAAATTGTTCCTGGATAGAGAGGCTTCACTTCTGACAGCAAATTTCTCATCCAGTACAGCGATACAGGCGTCGATCACACATGGTCAGTACCAAGGGAGTTAGGCCGCCTTCGTGTTTAACGACTTACGATTTCCATATTCAGGTGAGATATTTTTATCTCGGCACCTGTAGCAGAGTTAATTCCCAACCAACTAGCCACGGGGAGAAATTCGGACAAGGTTTAGCCTTGCTTCCGAAGAGTGGACCACAATGAAGCAATGACCGTTTTTCATGTCCTAACCCTCCATTACATTGAGAAGCTCATGGATTCAATGAACCATTCAAAAAATAAACATCCGGAAACATCAGTGCTTTGTAAACTAAAAAAAACTTGAGTCCAAAACTACCGTATAGACAGAATGGGCGGCGTGGGCTTATGGGTGATTCATAATAGCACATTTTCTAGTTCCTGCTGCCCTTCTTTTGAATCCTGTTGAGTAAAAAGACTCATACAGGTGGCACTGAGAACTCTTGTGGTGCTGCGAAGTGGTGCAAATGAGGTACTTCACTGACAGCAATTCCACAAGGTCTTCATGAGGTTCTCTGTGCAAGCTTCGCTGAGTACAGTTTGGCGCCCCCACCAAACCCAAGTGTTTTAGCCGACCTGATGCAATAAAGGAGGTACCCCACCTGTCCCCTGAATTAGCGTTTTACGTAGAAGAAGACGTTAGGCTCCCCGATGCTTTAAGTAACTACGGAAATAGTTGCCTTTTTTGAAGCTATATCCGAGTAGGGCTGCTTTTGCTGGTACTGGGTAGTCCGTATGATGTCACGCCACGCTTGCACTCACGTCACGTCAAAGGCTTAAGGCGGCGACGAGTTTCCGGCAGGTTCAACTCACTCCGCACTAGATAGAACGTTCAGACCCGAGTTTCGCTTGTTCAACATGTGCGCTATTCTGAATCACACGCACACAGCAGATATTAGTAATTAGATAGATAGCTGCTAGCATCTCCCGATAAAAGAACAAATAGCAACAAGTACACGGAAAGAAGACTTACGTTTCGCATGCAAGCGGATTGTAGGCTGGGGCGTACGAAGTGCTCACCTTCGCTGAAACTGTAATTTTCAAATTTTGAAACAAGGAAGTAGCCATAGCAAAATGAGCCCGAAAATCTGGCAGAGGTTGAGTGTGGCTGTGTGCTTAGGCGATCCTTCTCTGGTACAATGGAGTGGAGTTACGCCGAATTCATGTGAACGAACTTCTGAATATCTCGACTCCTGGATGCTAAGTGCACAACCAGCGACAGCGGGCTCGGATGTACCACTAAGCATTCTTGCTGACCTCTTTTTCTCTCCATCACAGGTGGGGAAAAAGAACAAACATGGTGAGCTGTTTCACAAATACACCTTGATTTTCATAAAAATCTCATCGACACAAGGTTTGCTCTGGGAAACTTGTGCTCCTTAGTGGGATGGAGGGTGTGCCGCGCGTGGGGCTAACCTTCAATTTCACATCAGCAGCTGGTAGTACGTAAGGTAGGATGCGATTCTGATGGCTGGAAGGAGGGCTGAGCTACTCCATTACTTTTGAAATTCAAACAAATGATAGGTAGTTTACCAGCGCTATATTCTTTCTCGAAAATAACAGGATACCTCAACGTAACAGAAAACTGCAGGCTAGCTTTTCTCGAGGCACATATTGCCTACCAAAGTCAAACTGCGACCAAGTGATCCGAGAAATGCCCTCATGCATTTGGCAACCAGGTCAACACTCGCAAGTGCAGCACTTCTAGCACACGAAAAAGCGAGTTCTAACGGCCAGAGATACATGACCTTCTACGGTATTAATGCTTTTTGGCAACCAGACAACAGATTACGCAGCTAATTACCACGCACGCTGCTTACAGCTTCAGGACGATCTCATGTACAACTTCACAAGTCGTTCGCTTTCCTTCTGGATAACTTTTTTTCCAAAATAAGCAACACTCCATATCGCAACGCAAGATGTGTTCTGGCGCTGCTTACAATCACCAGCGATGCAACTACATTCGTGCCGATCAACTGTTAACCCTAATTTCCTACATGGAGTTACCGCGAGCTATTGCACAGAGGCTGCAGGATGTCGATCAAGTCCAGAGAACTCGAACAAGGTGACTATGTAGTTGTCCAGGAGGGGTCTTTATTCATGACTGCTTGAAGTTTTTTTTTTGCTTTCTCTTTACCGCGGAGTCGCTTGTTGGCTACTGGTTCATAACAGGAAACCCTTTACCCGTAATAGTTGATCGCGAGAATTGTCCCTGAGGGGCTAGTGAAGAAATCTGAAGAAAGCCAGCATATTTCATGTACTCACTAGAGCACCCTGGATAGATCATAAACCCAGACGCCTGAACAGCAGCTTAACATCTGTCAACGATTACCAGAGGCTCACCTGGGTAAGCCAAATTCCTAACCCCTGCCAGTGTTCCGTACATAGAATTAGCACCAGAAAAAAAGACTAACTGGCTGACCTCTATTCGACTCAACTGACACCTTACTCGATGCACTTGCTTTCGGACTGTCACTTCCTCCACTGATCAGTGAATTCAACGAATCCGAGCTTTCACAATGAGGGGCAGCTCGTGATGATGACGAAACTGCTGTTGTTGCCGGGGTACGGGTAGACGCAACGCTGGCTGGATTGAGATGGCGGTGTCGTTGGAGTGGTTGCCGATGAGCTTGGAGCACCGTAGGTTGGTAAAAGCTTCGATGATGAAGGAGCAACTAAAAAAGGCGATATTCAGAAGGTAACAAACAAATGACAAAAGGAAGAAATAAATAAATTCGGCCAGAATACAAATCATGATGAAGTTCTAAAAAGCAAACTCTACATAGACGGATGAAACCAAGGTATTCAATTCTCCCATCAACACCCATTAGCGCAGACCTTATCCATTAATCATTACCGTTTAGAGCTGATATTCCGTGAAAAGGGAAGGAGTTCAGCATTCATCACTTTCTTTTCTCAATGCGTCACGAATCTACATTCGAGGAAATTAATGCGCGCTTTCCCCGTTTCCTTTCTTTTTCACTTCACTTTTATCTTCTGACAATATGGCTGTCTGAAGGCATAAGTCACGATGATACCTTCTAAGTCTCAAATGGTAGCAGGGTGCTATACAGTGATGAAATGACGAAAAAAACGAAGTGAAACGGTCAAAAACCTGCGAAGAAAACCTTCAATTCTCTTGACTCAAAAAGCAAGACGAGACGCTCACACGAGTTTCCCGTGGGCATCTTGCCAGTAACCGCTACGGTAGATACGGCTGCATGTATGTACTCATATATCCATGCAGCACCGCAGCCGCTTCATATCAATCCCTTCGCTTCATACTGTACTTCGCAATGAAGCGATACGAGCATCAGGTACGGTCGTCCATTTGTGGGCGGGCGGGCGCGTGGGCGTCTGGGTCGGTATGTTGCAGCTTGATAGGGCGCTTATGAGGGTACCTTCTTTGGAAAAGACGCCACGCAGCGCCTGCTCAGGGGCGCCGAATTCTGTCTTGCTGGGCATATTGATCCTACACGTTTTGGGAATTTACAGTGCCAACTGCCTTCAAGGCATGGTACATAGTCTACGACCCTGCCGAATCAGCGGCGGATAGAAATAAATACGTATCGAATAGGGAAATCGTGGATCGTGGATCGCTGTGTCGCGAACGCAAAATGCGTCGGACCCGTATTGTCTGGTTGACTTCGATCCAAGTGAAGCACGGTAGTATTAGTAGTATGGAAGTATGGGAGAGCTTCGCCCGCCGCTTCGTTGACCCTTTCGAGTGATATCGAATCTGGATCGATCCACGCCCGCTGAATTTACACGGTCTGCCTTTTGTGCCTACCGATAATTGTGAAAACTGTTTGCCGATCTCATAAGTCGGAGATCGTGAGCAATTTCTAAGACAGTACATCTCAGAGCATCTACGCGATTTCTTCTAATTTTCTACGAAACAGGAATCGCAGATACTCTGTGTGCACTAGGTGCTTAGGCAGGGGCAACATGGTTCCCGAAAGTCGGTAGTCGTTGCGTAACGTCTCTGTGCAGGACGTTTGTAAGTGGGCGATTTCAGAGTGGATGTAACGCTTAGTGGCCGGAGATCATCTTCTGATAGCCTAGCGGCTGATTATGACATTTGAGTGAAGCAGGAACTAGTGGTAGAGGAAAGTAACGGCTGGGCCGTCTCTAGGTAACGCTCAGCCGCAAGGCTGTTGGGAGGGGAGACTTTTGCCTCGTGCCGTATGACCCCGATTCTGCCGTACCTAACTGTCAGACAGGCTCTCGTTCAGGCAGCACTCCTTAGCCGATGAAAAAATTTTAAAATATCAAAGAAGGCTGAATCTGAGTGCCTAATTTCTTCGGCTCACAGTCAAGTGAGTTTACACTTTTGATAGAGACATGCATCACTCGAGGGAGTAATGACGAAGGCTGTACGACAACGGGGGATATCCTCTGAATAGAATCGTTACTCGGTGATTTTGCAAGAAATTTTGTTTTCTGGTCAACCCGCACCAACATTATTCAACGTGGAACTTCCATTTGAAATCGTAGCAACTTTGACTTATACACCGGAGGGAGGGGAGGGGGAGGGGGAGGTGCCATCCGTTGTTAAAGTCAGTGGTTCTACCCGCTCAGACGAATTAGGTACTATTAGTAAGTCAGGAAGGGATTGAAGTATTGACTTGCCCGAATGGGATCTGCGTCGAGATTCCGTGCACAAGATCAGATCCTTGGCTTTTTTTTCTATACATGAAATTTCCATCTTTTCCCTTATGAACACCTCATGCACTGCCTGACAATACTCAAGACAAGGAAGGGAACAAGGAACAGAAACGACCATTGGTCTCGCAGGTAAATCAGAGTTTACAAAAACAAGCTCGAAAAAAAGTAAAATAATAACCTCCAGGAGGAACATCATAAATATGGCTATTCGATGAGACCAAACTGCCGGTGGCTGAACCCGCAGTAGCATGAGCACGGATGGCCGGTGAGGATGGCACAAAAGCACGTGGCCGTGCAGGTGTGGTGGTTGGTACTGACGACGTCGCGGATACGCTCAGCATTTGACGACCATTGTCTGCTTGGCGTTCGCTGAAATTGAAAGCGGAGTAAGTGACTGAATAGTTTTTTTCTGCAACGATATAAGGAAAATGTGTGTACAGCCCATGCTGCTTGAATGGGCGGAGACGCTCAACACCAATTTGCGTTACTCATTGGCGCGCAACATTCTTCACGATCACGCCAATGAAATAGGCGTGATAGTTGGGCTTCTCCACTAATACGATCAACACAGACTGGACTAGACAGCACCTAAGGAAGCGCACAAACCTTAACGAAATGACTGGATGACTTGACTCCTGCTGAATGCTGCGATGATCAGGTTTCGGCGGGCACGGTTGTCCTATGGATTTCGGAGGTTCAGTGCCAAATATCTTTAAAAACCCAGTTATACCAGTTTTGTTTACAGAGATGTTATAGAGCAGCAGCAACTGACTTTATCACTCTTACCACAATTATCTTCCATCAGCAACTTCAGTGAGGGCCATTTAAAGGGTTCCACTGCTGAATGCGGTAAAACACAGTGCACTTCAAAGCAAGAGACGCTTTAGGAAGACGATTGCATAAATTATAGGCTGCTTCAGTGGCTGTCCAAACAAGGCTGCACTATTTCCGTGTAGGTTATGGAACGTACCAGTCGGATCGCTGGCTAAGGCCGGCTTTCCTCCTTCTGTGATGCGGGGGGGGAGGGCGCTGCTGCTGCTTCTGCGCGCTTGAACGCGAACAAGCGCTGCTTTTCGTTTTCTTGGTTGATGCAGTAACTGATTCCTTCTGACAGGGTGTGTTGGTCAACGATCCTTAACTTACACGAAAATCGCCATGCCCCGGGCGAAGCCGGGCTATGTCACAGAGGAGGAGAGCCCGGCGAACAGCCGGGATCCGACTGGGTATAGTCAGTCCTAGGTTTTTAAATAGGTCAGCTTACTTTTACAGTTTTAATGAAATGATTAAATATGAATCTCCAGTGTCCACCTGATGCCTTGTCAACAAAAATGTTGTTGCTCTCCAAGCTTTTGTGAGCCACTGCTATTTCAGAGTGGCAGACCGTTGTGGCGAGAATCTGATGACAGTAGGCAATTTGGGTGTGTGCTTTGGTCCTACGCTTTTACGGCCGAAAGAGGAGACAATGGCTGCAATTATGGATATCAAATTCTGCAATGTCGTTGTCGAAGTGCTCATAGCAAATTGTGAACAGGTGGAGTACTTCTTAGGAAACAAATTTTACTATCAAATGTTT